CATAGTAATTGTGAGTACAATCCCAGGGTAGTGTGTACTTAGACTCAGTAATTGAGCAGAACTAAAAATAAAATTAGTCAGCATATCCTTAGATATGATCAATGGAACAAGAACAGTCTACACCCATAGATTAAATAAACCCTTCATTTGTAGATTTTTCTGTAGTTTACTTGGACCAATATACACCTGATGAAGGCTGGAAGACAACAACTGAAATGAGATAACAAAGATGCAGACAATAGTGTAATAGTCATGTCATTTGTGTTTTTTATATATATATATATATATATATATACACACACATACATACATAAAGTGATCATTGAAGTCAACACTCAGGGGCAACAGACTGTTTCATGCTTGACACAATCATCAGGCCATGAGTTTTGGGCTTGACTATATATATCAGTCAGTGGTGTATTGTGGGTAGTCCATTCTGGCAGTTATTTTGGTGGGAGTGGTTTATTTATTTATTTGGGTTAATTTATTTTACTTGTTTTTATTTATTTACATTTTTTATTTTATATATTTATTCTTTTTGGTTTTCAGTGTTTTATTAATGTAAAAAAATCTTTAGGGGTTTGCTTAGGTTGCTTATTTAATAGTTTGTTTTGGTCTGGGAAGGTAAAGCTTTTTATTCGTCCAATTTTTGGATTGATTGCTGCAGTCTATTCTGCTATTTTGGTGGGGGGCAGTTTTTTGTTTATTTATTTAGATTATTTTTACTTGTCTTTACTTATTTATTTTTATTTTATTTGTTCTAATGGTTATCTTAACGGGACTATTTTGTTAATTTGTTCATTTATTTATTTGGATTCATTTATTTTACTTGTTTTTTCTTATTTTTTTATTTTGTATAATTTTATTTACTCTTTTTTGGTTTTTGATTTTTAAGTGATGCAGTAGTTAAAGTAGTTATATCAATTTTTTCGTCCAATTTTTGGATTGATTGTTGTAGTCTATTCTAATGGCTATTTTGGTGGAATTGGTTTGTTAATTTGTTTAAATTTACTTTATTTATTTTATTGGATTGATTATTTTTACTTGTTTTTTATGTATTTATTTTTATTTATTCTATTTCATCTATTCTAATGGGTGTGGTTTATTAATTTGTTTATTATTTGCTTGGGTTAATTTATTTTACTTGTTTTTATTATTATTTTGTTTTTTTTTATTCTTTTCAGTTTTCAATTTTTAAGTAAAGTAGTAGGAATTTATTTTCATGTCTGCATTTTGAGATGGGCTCAGTTTGTTTATTTAGTAATTTATTTTGGTCTGGGAAGGCAATAATAGCTATTTTTTCTTCCAAGCAAAGTTTGCAGGTTTTTGATTGATTGTTGTAGGCTGATGATATTTTTGGTGTGATTTGCATTTTGCTTTTAATTTCCCAGATATACTTGGAAAGCATTGTGCTGTTCTTTTTATTTAATATATATATATATATATATATATATATATATATATTATTTCTGTTTATATCAAAAATATTTTAGTGCATTTCATAAAGGCTTATAGGTTAAAAAAATATATTCCTAACTTAGTAGTTATATAAGGTTAAAAATGATTATTTTTAAACATAAATGACACCATTTACATTATTCAAACTGTTGTCCTCATCTTTATTGTCATAGTCACAATGTTTCAACTGTTGTACACACTGGCCTTCTTCAGGTGATATTCATTGGAATTTTGAACCAATCCCTTTATTTAGTCCACAGGGTAGATTGTTCTAGTTCCACATGTCATGCCTTTTCTGGATATCTCAATTCCCTTTAGTAACTCTAAGCTTTTTTGTTCACCTCTGCTGTGGCCAGGTATTGAACTCACAACTCTTTGGCCCAGTGGATAAAAAGTTGGTTGAAGTAATCCAAATGTGACTCAATCCAATACTCTTAGGAATATAGACAGATGAAAAATGACACCAGTTTCTGTATTTTGGCAATTCTGCTCTTTCATATTTATTAAAATTTGAGTCAAGATTCTTTTTTTTTAAATGGGTGAGTGTTGTGACAATACTTGCTATTGTTTGACTTGTGAGTGATAGAATATATCTTTTTATGGTCTAATGTGTTTTGCACTCTAAGTGTAAAGTATGTAATATTTTTTTTATAGAATTCTTGATTTAGCATAAAGTACATAATATATTTCATCATTTTTGTTAATTCTCAATTTGGCTAATTTTCTTAGAAACAAATTTTTAGAAGCGGTATTTGATTTTTAAGAGGTTTGAAAATTGTTTCAAATTTTCTGTCAAATCTTGGCCAAAATCTTTAACTCTGTGTTTAGCAGAGTTATGGGTCTGTAATCATCTAAATCCCTCCCAATACCCTTGACCTTTTTCAATGGCGGGATGAAACCTCTGGAAATCCGGTCCAGGATGGACCCCTGCTGAAACCAGTTGTTGAACACAACGGTCAAAATCAGGACAACGTGTGACAGCCTCAAGTACATTTTGTAGGGCAGACCAAGTCTCGTAGACTTGCCACTGCCAATCCTCTTCAATGCCAAGTGAACTTCGACCTCTGTGATCACACCCTTGCAGCTAGCCACTTCAGTTAATGAAAACTGAGGAAAGTCAACCAAATAGCTGTGAAACTCTTTGTCATTTAGACCAGGCTTTCAATCAAAATAATGGATCAATTATAAAATCAGTGTGAACATTATAAAAATGTCTTAAAAGTTTAATAAATATGTAAAATTATTTTTCTTTTTTATAGATTATACACACTTAGGTGACAATTGTCACAATACTGTCAATAGTAAACTTTTGGAATTAAATTTGTTAATATTAAAGGTATCAAAAACAGTGCATCAGGAAGATGCTTATAGTCAACATTGTGGAAGAGTAATTGCCAAGAAATACGGAACTGGTGGTGCAATATTAGACTGGCAGTGAGATCTTATCAATTTACAGTTGAGCTAGCTAGATGTAGCTGCAACTTCGATGCTAACAGATTTTTATCTCGCACTTCTCACTTGTGGAACTCGGTCTCGGACCCATATTTTCCAGCCAACTTTAATCTGCAAAAATTTAAATGAATATGTTAATCGCTATCTACTGTCCTCCTGATTGCTTCTCCTCATTAATAATGTTTCTGTTCATAATTCCTTCACGCCTTGTAACCCCTTGTTTGATAGTAACTGTACTGCCTTGCTTGGAGTGATACCGTTTAAAAAAAAAAGAAAAGAAGCCATCTGACTACAAAAAGTGATGAACCTTTTATTTGCCAACATAATATGGTATTTGCTTTTATTTATAATAAATGGATTCAATTGGCTTTCGTTAACTCATTAACTGCCAATTTTTTTTAATGTGTATTTTTGGTCCAGACTGGTGTTTAGGAGTTTATTAATTCCTTATGTTTAATTTCAGTAGTTACCATTGTCATTTTTATAGAAACTAGAACATCAAATATATATATAACTGTATAAAACATCAAAAAATAATAATGATTAGAAATAAAAAAAAAAAATACTTTTCAAAACAGTCATTATTTTTCTACTCGTGAAAAGTAAAATTACAATAAAAAGTGTCTTCTTACAGCTAATAATAAAAACTTTAAAGGATAACTATTGTAAAATATACCTCTGCAAATGCAATGTATGTAAGCAATTCAATGTAAATACAAGGAATAACATGGAGTGAGTTTAATTTTAGCAGATCCCCAAATGGGGCTCATAGCAGGTAATGGGTTAAATAAATTATAACATCAGAAAGTATTGATAAAAACATTTCCCTTTTATAATAATTTTCATGTTCTCAAAACAAATTTCAATAAAAAAAATTTCAATTTCCAGCTGGGATTTTCTATTTTTCACTTTTAAAATTCAACACCATTTTTAAAACTAATGGATTTAGAACACTTTGAAAAAGGGATATATATCGAGTAAACGTTTTTATAAGATTTACATGTTGAACTGAATCCAGAAAGGATCATATCTTTCTGGGTATTTACACTTTTTAGCTTAATATGACTCTTATGATAAATTGTAAAAAAAAAAAAATATATAAGTGGGTAGGAAGACTGTGTTGTGCCAATCTTTCAACTATAGATGTAATGTAAGTTCTAAGTTAACAATTTCTTTTATACTTCTTGGTTATGGAACTCTTCCAGCTTTTTACTTCCTAGTCAATATTGATTCTCAAAAATTTAAATGCAACATCAATCATTATCTTTTGTCTTTTTGATTCTTTTCTTGTTCTCTCTCCTTAATAGTGCTTTTGTTTCCCTCTCATATTCTCTAATACCCCTTGTGTTTTAGTGGCTTTATTGCTTTGCTTGGGGTGAATTGATTAAAAAAAAAATAGGAATTGTCTTCCTGTCTTAAAAAAAATCTTCTTTTGAAAGCACTGATGAGATGTCAGATCAATCAGGTTGGTAGTTACTAAAAGTTGCTCAATTTAGCACAAGGCCAAAAGTAAGAGGGATATGCGAATTTAAAAGTTGAGATCCGTTGGAGCCTCTTTCAAGGATATATAAGGAGATAGGTCAGCAGATAATTTCAGAAGATAACAAAAATTGCAACCTGAAGGCATAATAATGTTCAACTGAAAGGTAATGAAAGTTTCAAAGAAGTCAAAAGATGGGGATAAAAAATTTTATACTGAAGGCATTAAACTAAAGTCCTAGCGGTAAAACTATTTTGTCTGTCACCTGTGGATGAGCAGGTCTGTTTCACACAGAAGCAGCAAATGGATCAAAGAAGTTATTGGGCTCGTCTATTAGCCCAATCTTACCTTCTTCGAGTAATGCACTATTCCAATTTTCATTCGTAAATCTAGCCCTCTGATTGGTTCATTTCTACCAATCAGGTCGCCTGCACATGCACTTTAAAGTTTTGCTGCAAAATCGTTCTGGATCCACCCACGCGATTATGACCTCTTAAAAAGAACCCAAACAGACCATTTTTCGACCACTTACTCAAGTTTAAAAATATGATGACTACTAATTACTGTCTCACTAATTGAGATGACAAATCTTTCCCATTCAATATCTTCTATGAACTTCTTCGTCATTCAAGAATCTCAAACTATACATTCTCTTCGATCATCTACAATAAATCAGTCAGTCGAACGAGCACAGAGATATTCTAATATAATCCACGTCACTTGCAACTGCAATCTTGCCGCGCAAACTAAATCATCACTGACTCACTCGCAAGCTCAAATCAAAGAACACTCTGTGAACACGTGAAACTTCTATCCGAACAACTTTACTTATCTAAAGTGAATTAACTCTCACTACTATTCTAAGTAAATAACATCATCGAACGAACTCAACATTTTGCAGTCAAAGGTAGATGACTTCGTAATGACTCATTTCTAAAACACAATACCTACATTCTAAATATTAATAACAATTTCCTAAAAAGACTGTAACGTTGATACACAAGACATAAAAAAGGACATACGAAAACTACAAATATCATGAGCACACCAACACATTAACATCTTCAAAATATTCTGTATATATTATCTTACTTGTATGTAAATGCATTTATCAGTTTTGAATTGCATGTATGTTTTTGTCTTGTTTATATTGAAATTGTTTATTTGTTTGTGGATGCAGAAAAGTTCACGCAACCTAACATGAAAATTCCTTCTGATTTAACTCAATGCTACAGCAAATTCCTTAGTTTATTCTGCCCATTCCCAACAAAGTGAATCCTGTGAATGGAAATGTGATTTAAAAAAGAAAAAATTGTTAAGTCCAAATAATGCAAGTGAATTTGCCAAAGCCCCCTTCTGTGTTTTTGTCTTTCAGTTAGGTTGGTGTGCTTTTTTTTTTTTTTTTTTAAAGAGTATTTTCAACCTTATTTAAACTTTTTGTATTAAACTTCCCAAACAACTCTCTCACAAGATGAGGCCTATCAGCTTTTTTTTTCCAAAATAAAATCACTTTTATTATTCCTGTATTTTTTAAAAATTTATGTTGAAATTTATTCATCAATTGCAGCATTTAGTAGAAGAAATGAAAAATGCAAATTGAAAGATTTGATTAAATGGATATTAATTTTGTTCAATCCATAATATATTTTAAAACAAATGATTTTAAAGAAATTATTTTCATACTTGCAGAATCATGCGCATTTTCAAGATGTGGGAAAAAGATCCCGTTTTAAAAATATTTTCAAAAAATCAGGGAATTATTGGATTCCATGGAAATTTATGTGACTTATTCCTTAATGAATGAGTATTAAATCTTTTTATTTTAAAATTTTCTGGAACTAATTTTTTTTAATGTCAGTTATATCCATCCTTACTTCTACTAAAGTTGTAGTTAATATGTGCAAGTGAATTTTCATAATTTTTACATTTTTATAAATGTGTCATATTAAAAAAAAGAAAGAAATTCACTGTAAAAACATAAAAAAATACAGTCTGAAATCATAATAATTCAAGAAAAAAATATAACTTTCATTTTCTTTCAGAGAACTTTGATAGACTTTATAGTCAAAGAGAGGCAACTTTCGTCTTACTCTTTGCATGTTTTTTCTTATACATTCTTTATTGTATGTTTCGTTGAATACAATTTTTTGATACCTATGCCTTGTCCCTTTCTTTTACATCAATTTTGGTTCCTAAACAAATTAAACAAAATTAAATAAATGTGGTAAAAAAGGCTGCCACAGTATATGTTTTTGACAAGAAAAACATTTCTGATGTATTTGTTTGAAAAATTAATATGTACTTTTATCATTATGATTTTAGAACTCTTCAGGATTTTGTTTGCAGCTGATAATAATATGAAATATAGCGGTGTTTGAAGAAAAGTTTAAAGTTTTCAATGAACATTTTTTAAAAGACTTCTTTTTATTTAATCATTTTACAACTGTTAGATTTTTCTTTACTCCTTTTCAAAAAAAAATGAAATTTTCAATTACATTTAATGTGATATAAAAATAACCTTTTTAACCTTTTCTTCCTGCAAAAAAAAAAATGTGTCAAAACGAAGTTTTTTTTTTTTTCAATCTTGACATTGCTGTTTAAGTTAATGTATGCTATCTTTTCTGTTTATTGTTTTAAAAAGTGAAGATTCAAAATTTTAATAAAATCCAAACATATAAAAAGTGACAGTATTTACATTAGTCGGACTATTGTCCTCATCTTTGTCGCCATATTTGTCACAACGTTTCGGCCGTTGTACGCTCCGGCCTTCTTCAGGTGGTTGGAATTTCGAACTGAACCCTTTATTTCGATCGCTGGGGTAGACTGTTCTAATTCCACGTGCCATGTTTGATGGATGTCAGTTATCAGTTATCTCCTGCTAATTTTCCCTCTGAAAGTTCTCCACTGCCTTAACCAGGAATTGAACTCACCTTCTTTGGGTCTGTCACTGGATCTAACCAACGCCTTTATCCACTGTGCCATGTGTCCTTAGTGAATATATATATATATTTTTTTTTGAGAATTTATAATAAAAATATTAAAGACTATTTATTTATTGGTTTATTTATTCACAAGAATAATTTTACAGCATTATAAAAATATGTGTATCAACTTTAATGAAATCTTTATTTAGCTGATCTGAGATTATGAAAAAATAAACTGGAAAATTGAAACAAGTAAACTGATATCTGAAAAAATTGTGAGAAAATGTACACTGTCCTGGAAAATCATGTTTATTTGAATTTTCCTGTTCTAATTTTGATAAAATTATAAATAAAAAAAAACTTTGTTTTTACTTAAAATGGTAAAATTGGATGCATAGTGGAATAATGTATAGCAGCTCAGATTGAGAAATCGGAGAGCCGAGTTCAAATTCCAGTCAAATCTATTACATTCATTTACGTGCTAATAACCCATGGGAAAGGTATGAATCCTCTTCTTCCCCCCCCCCAGCTATGGGTAAATAGCAGGACAGACTATGTTCTATAACCTTGTATGGCCACTGGTCTACTGCAGAAAGAAATAGGAACCTACTGTGGGAAAAAATCTGCCTTGTCAGTCATGTATCGAAAGATACATGATCACCTAAGTGTGTGGCACATAACTGACTGTTAAAATGGTAAATAATAAATATGGCATTGTATTGTAATTGGTCCACATATTGAAATGGTTTTATCAAATTTCTTAATAAAATGTTATATATTTTTCTTTTGTATGGTAAATAAATGTTGCATTGTTTTGGTTCATTTAAGCCTTGAAAGAGTGAAAGGTGTATTCAGTAACAGTGGTGTCAACAAAAAAAATCCTTCATTTTGATACACTGTTTTTCTTTTCGGGCATAACATTTAAATTTTGGTAAAATAATAAAAGCCCTTTTCAGGGTTATCAAATTTTTTGATGAATCTGCTCGCACTGATAATTTTTGCCGGTTTAAGATTATCTACTTATCTCCCCTGTTTTTTGCTCTTCCTAATCATTTTCTAATCAGAAAAATGATTGGGAACTCAATCAGTAACTTTCAAATTTAAGAATTTTTTAACTCATCAATTTTTATTTTATATCATTTTTAATTGCCTTCTTTTATTTCTATGTCGAAAAAAGAAAAATTCAGAAGGCTCTTTAACACAGTGACAGTCGCCAAACAAAATCTTCTCTCTCTCTCTTCTAACAAACTTAAATGAAATCTATAAGCTTTCCACTCTGGGCGCTCACAAGGTAACTCTGTCGTTTTGATTGTCGTCTGCCAAATCAAAAACAGTCTTCTTATTTCACCGCGGACGGTCCCCGGACGCCGCCAAATGCTTCTCGTCTATTTCCGCCGCCCGTCGAACGCGAAACGCTGTTCTTCCTTTCTGACGTAGAATTTTCCCCAAATTGGAAAAATCAGGCGAATATAAACAGAAAGAAGTAAGTGTAACTTTTCCTCTTGATTTATAAATTTGTAGAGAAAGAGAAGCCCTCTAAAATATTTAGGTAGGACAATTAAAATTTCAATATTTATTTTATCCACTTTCCAACTGATAATTTTGGAATTAGGCGATTCCTTTTCAAAACAATTGAAGATTTTTAGAAGTTTCTAAATAACAGTAAATTATTTTTTATTACCTAACAACATAATTTTTTTAGTCTCACAAAGAAAAAGTTAGAAAATCTAGTACATCACTTTTTAAGTTTCTATGAACGAACAAAAGAAAAATAATATTTCGAAAGAAAAAGAATCCTACTAATTTTTAAAAAGTATTATTGTTGTTTATACAATTCTTTTCTTATTTCTGATATTATATTTTTCTTTGCTCAAGCCTGAAATGTAAAATAAAAAATATAACAATGTTTTGTTTTACGTAGGCATCATAGCACGATGAAAAAGGGATCAAGCTTAATAAAAGCAAAGTTCAAAGTTTGTTATTAATAAGAGGAAAGACCAAAGTATTTTAAAATTATTTTTTTAATTTTTTTTATTCCTTTCTAGCACGTTTAAAATTTTAGTTGAAAATCGTTTTTTTTTTTTTTTTTTTTTTTTTTTTTAACTTCAGCGGTCGCGTAATATTTTTAGCATTAATTTTTATTTTTAGCGCTTTTTTTTCAATTTAAAAACATTAATTTGGAAATTCTTGCAAAAAAAAAAAATCAAATAATTGTCGGATTTTAATGAAACTTTCAGAATTTATTCAAAAATGAATGAAATTTTATTAGAAAAGCTTCCTTAGAAAGTCATGGATTTTTTTTTTTTTTTTTTTTTTTTACATCTGTTAAAGAAACCAACAATTACTTAATTTTATGAAAACTTGAAAACTAGCATCTAGTTACTTCTAGTTTATTTTTTTAAATTACATGCAGAAGGTTTTCAACAATGTAAATCAATCATTTTTTTTTTTTTGGTTTTGTAAATCGAGGAGTGTTTCTACTCAACTTTAGCTATGAATTGTAAAATACAAAAAAAAAAAAAAAAAAACTAAGACATTGTCATTATTTAATTTAAAATAAATTTTAAATTAAATAATGACAATGTCTTAGTTTTAAATTTTAAAAAAAAGCTTTTAATGACTTTTCTGAATAAGGACATTTTTATCTGAAGCCAAAATATTTTTTTGATGAAAAATGAATTTTTACAAGAACTGTTTTCTTTTTTTCAATTTTAAATACATAAATATATGCTATTTTTATAGATGTAATTTATTTAAGTAAATGCTGTTTGTTAAGCAGTATTAATTACATTTACCAGCCTGAATGTTCAAGAGACTTCATAAAAAAATATGTGCTTCTCTGATAGGAATTGAACCTGTAACCCTTAATGGGATCCATTGTTTGATCTGATGTGCTGTTAACCATTCAACCAGAAAGAAGCATCTGGTTAGCAAAGTCCAAATTTCTGTTTATAAACATACACTTTCGACAATTTTTCTCTAGCGATCATATCTAAAAAATACATACATAAAAAAATTTTAAATTCTTTAAAAAATACTTGGGGTTGCTGAATTTTAGTAAGCTTTACTCATTTATGATTAGAAAATATTACTGAGATGAGGTATTATGTACATTATTTACATTATTCAGACTATTGTCCTCATCTTTTTTCCCCATATCTATCCATATTTTTGGTATATCGGGTCTGTACCGATCCTTCAAATTCTGTCTATATTTCTGAGATGAGGTAGATATGGCGAAAAAGATGAGGACAATAGTCCGAATAATGTAAATAATGCAGAAAATATTATTTTTAATTAATAACAATATCACCTAACTGGTACAAAATAATACAGGATTTTAAGTTTTAAAAGTTCATAAGTTATTCTAATTAAAATTTTTAAAAGAGAAAACACTTGTAAAAATTCATTATTCCTCAAAAAAAACCTTTTTCTTCATGTCCTTATAATATATCTTATTCATGAAAGCAATTAAAAGCTATTTAATTGCATAATGTCTTACTTTTATTGCATTTTTTACAAAAAGAAATTAATGAATTAAATTCTCCAAGGACTTCTGCTTTTAACTAATACAAACATTAAGTGGGAAAAATTTAATATCTTGAAATTTCATAAAATTAAATGCTTTCAATCAGCTAATATTCCTTAAAGTTTCAGAAAAGTATATTTTAATTTTGGAAGATTTTTTTAATAAAGAGAATTACATTGCAATGAAAGAGATCTAAAAAAAGGTGCTGATAAAATAAACACCTCTTCTAGTCAATTAAATTAGTTTTAAATTGATTTTCGAAATACAGCAAAGTATTTTGCTTGTTGGAAAATTTTAAATTATTATGGAATTAAAAGTAATATAAAAGATTCGAGAAAGATTTTTCATTATTAAAAATTAATTTTAAACTTTTCTATCATTTTTTTTATGTGGCTGCTGAGGTCCCTATATTAATAATTTTGTATTTGTTCTAACTGAAGAAATGAAAAAAATCTATGGTAGAAAACATTTTTAAAATGTATTTATTTGTATTTTAGAGTACTAATTAAAAATAAATTTCTAAAAAGACACTAACATTATTCTATTTTTGTGCAGATTGTATTTCCATAAAAAGTAATCCCCAACAAGGATAAATTTGGATGCACATCCTGGAGACAATTATTACCTCTGGGAAAAGGACTGGATTTTTCGGTTTTAAAAAAAAAAATTTGTCTGAAGAGTTTGGTTCAAAATCTTCAGAGTTTGACATTAAAAATTCATATGAGGAAACATACAAGAAAGACACCATATTTGCATTTATGTTTCAGCAGTTTCATACTGTTCAAGATTAAAACAAATTATATTTGTATATAATGATGAAAAATCATTTGTGAAATGTGTAGCTCAATGTTTTTAGAGAGTTCAAGTTTAAAATGCAAAATGCGAACACATACTGGTGAGAAGCCATACTCATGTGAAGTATGTGGTTCAGCATTTTCTGGGAGTTCACATTTAAGAAGTCATATGCGAACACATACTGGTGAAAAGCCATATTCATGTGAGGTTTGTAGCAGAAAGTTTTCAGAGAGTTCAACTTTAAAACGTCACATGCGAACACATACTGGTGAAAAACCATACTCATGTGAAGTATGTGGTGCAGTATTTTCTGGAAATTCAAATTTAAGAAGTCATATGCAAACACACACTGGTGAAAAACCATATTCCTGTGAAGTGTGTAGCGCAATGTTTTCACGAAGTTCAACATTAAAACGACACATGCGAACACATACTGGTGAAAAACCATATTCATGTGAAGTGTGTAACACAGCATTTTCACAGATTTCATTGTTAAAACGTCACATGCGCATACATACTGGTGAGAAACCGTATTCATGTGAAATATGTGGTTCATCATTTTCTGGGAACTCTAGTTTAAAAAGTCATATGCGAATACACACTGGTGAAAAACCATATTCTTGTGGAATCTGCAGTGCAAAGTTTTCACAGAGTTCAAAGTTAAAGAGTCATATACGAACACATACTGGTGAGAAACCATATTCATGTGAAGTGTGTGGTTCAGCATTTTCTCAGAGGTCAAGTTTAATAACACACATGCATATACACACTGGTGAAAAACCATATTCATGTGAAGTGTGTAGCTCATCATTTTCACAGAATTCAAGGTTAAAAAGACATATGCACATACATACTGGTGAGAAACCATATTCATGTGAAGTGTGTGGTTCAGCTTTTTCTCAGAGCTCAAGTTTAAGAAGTCATATGAGAATACACACTGGTGAAAAACCATATTCTTGTGGAATGTGTAGCGCAAAGTTTTCAGAAAGTTCAAAGTTAAAAAGTCACATGCGAACACATACTGGTGAGAAACCATACTCATGTAAAGTATGTAGTTCAGCGTTTTCTCAGAGCTCAAGTTTAATAAAACATACACGTATACACACTGGTGAAAAACCATATTCATGTGAGTTGTGCAGCTCAACCTTTTCACAGAGTTCAACACTAAAAAAACACATGCAGACACACTGGAGAGAAAATTCAAGAGAAGAAAGTTCCACAAGTGAGAACTGCAAGAGAAGAAACTGTTAGCAAAGAAATTACGGTTATATCTAGCCATTTCAAATGTAAAATGATGGGACATTGCTGCCAATCAGGTTCTGTGCTGAAATTAATAAAGTTTAGCTACCATTGAGGAAAGTAATATTTATTTTGTGTAAAATACAAAAATGTAGCACAAGGTAAAAGTTGGGGGTAAGGGAAAGCTGGTTTTCTTCTGTCTTATTAAACGTATGTGGGTTAGCATTTTCAGAGAATGCTCTTTTAAAAACCTAATCAAATATATGTTGATGAAAAGACCTGAAGTGTGTAATGTTGTATTTGCTCTTTCATCACATGAAAAAGCATGCAAACTGATGCTTGTTAGCAAGCTGTCATGTGGATATTCACTAGTTAAAAACTCTTATACATTTAACAGTTTTAATATGATCACATTTAAAGAAACAGGCGAAGATATTCTGATAAAAAAGCATGTTAACTGAGGAGCATTTTTAGTTTGTTGACTTTTAAAACTTAAAGGATACAGACTGAAGAAAAAACATGCACCTAAGATGAGGCTCGGTCAAATTTGAAAATTCTCTGAAGGATAGCTATATTCTTGTGCACAACATTGTTTCACATTTTCAATTCATTTGATTACCAAGGTGCTATATTCATGTAAAATTTCAGAGTTAAATACCACAAAAATATTGAATGGTTTGCATTAAGCATCACATTTTAGGCTAATCAGAATGAGTTCAAAACATTTGTATATATAACAAGCCAAACTTGACCAGATGATACCTCAACTTCTATTCCTACCATCACTACAGAACAATAGATGAAAGTGTTGGTTTGTTAATTTGGTGACATAGTGGTCGTGAGTTCAATTCCAGTGTGTACTTGCACTTGGTGGAAATGGGCGACCAATAACTGAACAATACTAAATACTAGATGTGATA